CCAGAGTCCAGGGTTTGCAGAACCCTGTGGGCCTGGCACAGACCTCCCCGCCCAGCTGCTTCCCTGGCCCCGGGGCCACTGGTCAGGAGACAAGATTCCCAGGTCCTGGTGGGGGTGAGTGAAGGGCAAGTCCAGAGTCAGAAAGTCTGGGGGCCCAGGCAACCCTGGTGCACACACATGAGCCTGTCTGACCCTCAGGGCTTGGGTATGGACACCGGTGAGATGAGCCTGATAAGGGTGGGGCCTCCGTCCAAGCCACCTTGTCGTGTGGCCTGGGACATGTGGCCATCCTCTCTGGGCCATGGCCCCTAGTCTGTGGTGAGACCAACAGGCTGGGCTAGGCTCCCCTGTCCCCCCAAGACTAGGGAATGACTCCAAAGTGCAAGGTCCTGTGAGCAGTTTCAGGGTTCATGGACTCTGAAGGCAAGGCCTGGGCCAGCCCAAGCAGCAGCAGCTCCGAGCCCACGCTGACTCTGGGCCGGCCACCCGGCCTCTCTCAGCCTGTTTCTGGTCTGCAGCATGGGCACCTCGCCTATGTCTCTACTTTTAAACACACAGATACACACCCTCTCTCGCATGACAAGCTTGATTCTGCCTGCTGAAAGCTAAAAGCCCACCCAGGGGAACAGCTTAAGCAAAGGCCAGGTGGCTGGCAAGCAAACAAGGGGATCCCCAGGGAGCCGGAGAGAGCGCTTTGAGCCCCACCCCCCGACCCCCAAAGGCAGATGCCCTTTAGGGCCCTGCTGGGGCTGTGATGATTAAGGGACAGCAACCCTTAAAAACAGAGAAACAGAAGAGACAGAAGTACAGCTAAGGTGACAGGTGAGGAGCCCCTCAACTGTGTGCCAGGGAGTCCCCACCATCATTCTGCCCATTTCACTGTGGGTAAAACTGAGTCCGGCCCAAGGTCACAGGTTGGGTTCCTGTTCCCCGGGCTCCCAGCACAGTGCATTGCTCACCACCTGAGTCACCGAGGTTGCCAGGCCTCAGTCTTCTACTCTGTACAGTGTGGAGGGCGACCCCCACCCAGTCTGATCTGGCCTGGACCTGGGGGGCCTCCATCCCCCTCTGTCTTCCCTGAACCAAACAGGTCTGTGCCGCCTGCCCGTCAGCCCATTAGTCTGGAGCGTGCCGCCTCACGTGGCTGCCATTAGCGAGTGTTGGCCGGTGTTAAGAATCTGAGCCTGGGGGAGGAGGCGCAGCGGGATGGGGATGGCGGGGGAG